TTTGATGGCTTGCATACATACATACATACTTACATACGTACATACATACATACATCCATACATACATACATACATACATACATACATACATACATACATACATACATACATACATACATACATACATACATACATACATATATACATACATACAAACATACATACATATAAACAAAAGTTTGTTTGCCGACACATTTAGTCCTAATGCTTTATGGTACGTTTGCTCATATTTTATTCATTCATTCGTTTTTTATTCCTATTTTTATTATTTTTACTTTCCTTTTTCCCATTTTTGCTTTTTTTAACGATGTTGCAACTGTTATATCCTTTTTATAACCATCATTATAGATATTGATATCATGCTATCATCATCACCATTATCATCAATTTTAATATCATGTATCACAATCATCAATTTTAATATCATGTATCATATCATCATCATCAATTTTAATATCATGTGTCATAATCATCATTGATCAGATATCCTGTCATCCTCAATCTAGATATCATGTCGTCATCATCACATTATCATCGATCTAGAAATCACGTCGTCGTCGTCATCATCAATCTTGATATCATGATATATTTTAAGTCACATCAGCATCGTCATCATATTTTTTTAAACATTGTCACTATCATAATCTGCATTACCGTTATCATTACGAAACCTTATCATCATCTTTGTCATCATCATCGTCGTCGTCATCATTATCATCATCATCGTCGTCATCTTCCTCTTCGTCATCGATAATAATTTGTTTGTTTGCCGTAACTATGACATCATATAAAATGCAATCGCTGCGATCGTTCCTAAGATCAATAAGTAAATATGTATATAACGTCTTGTTATTATTATTGTTGTTGTTGTAGATTTTGTTGTTATTATTATTATTATTGTTGTTATTATTATTATTGTTGCTATTGTTATTATATGCAAAGGCAAGGCTCTTTCCACCAGTGACAAAGGCACACATATGCAGTTGGTAAGCAGTAAGGTACGTGATTATTTATTATTATTTGTATTATTATTATTATTATTATTATTATATTTTACTGATTAGTTAATTAATTGATTGATTAAATAATTAGCTGATTAATTAATTTAATTGATTGATTGACTCGATGGGATATGATTGGTTTTTTGGTTTTAAGAATACTGTAAATTAAGTAAATAATGGTTGTAGAATGAGTGAATAAATAGAAGAAGGACGAATAAACGAATGAACGAATAAACGAGTGAGTGAATGAACGAACAAATAAACGAACGAACGAACGAACGAATAGATGGACGAACAAATGAATGAATGAACAAATAAAGATAAGCTTGTAAAAGCATGTATTTTAGCCTGTAAATCAATAAAATTAATTTTAATATTACTCACATTTTTGTTAAATTTACTAAGAAACTTTAATTTACTAATAAAATAATATAAAAATAAAAATTAATAAAAATGCTAACATTAAAAAAACTTTTTGTCATTCGTCAGATATGAGGATGGAGCACATCAAAATTATAACCAAGGTTTACTTTTAAGATTTTAATCTGGTTGCCTAGTTATTATAATTGTTTATCGTCTTTTCCCATTTTCGCTAATTCGTTTTAATATTTTTACGAATATATTGAAATTTGAGTTATATTAAAATTTGAATTTAACTAATTAAGTAAGGATGAATTTTGATGAAAATGAAGGGGACCCATATGCCGATTTCGATGAGTACGATCCAAATTTCGACACCCAGGTGAATCTTCTTAATTCTTAATTTATAAATCTATATCATGTAAATCACAATGCAACATACACAAATAACTATACAAAATACAATACCGTACGCAATACACTTGCAGATATACACACACATATACGCATACATACCTACGCATACACTTCAATTCAATTCAATACACATATACAAATACACATACATACATACATTTAAACAAACGTTTACTCTCTGCACTTATATTACTGCACTCTGAAAGCAATTATTTTATTGTGATTCATAAGTAATGTAGGAACGAACATTTATCATAATTACTTCACTAGCAAACAACAAAACACATACAAACATACATAAAAAAACATTCAAAAGCACATACACACACTTATATTCACATACACGTAACCACACACACACACACACACACACACACACACAAACAGGCTCTCCAGCTAGACACAGCATTCCAGGCAGCCGTTGAAAACACTCGCGACAAGAGACCTCCCCCGACAGCTGCCAGATTGAAAACAGGGGTGAAAAAGGGATTCTTAGTGCCCCCATCATCAATGGGTGTTCGACCCATTACGGGGTCTGTTGATGCAAGTGGAGCACGGCCTATGACGGCCGTCAGGGCAGCCGGATACACCAAGGGTTGGTGAATAATTTTATTTTATTCACATTAATTTTATTTAGTTTAGTTCACATTTATTTTATATAGTCTTGTTTATAATGTTTTATAATTTGTATGTTGTTTGCGTTTATGCTTTCATTCTTTGTCTTTCAGTCAAAAATACGTGAGTCATTTAGCAACAGTTGAGGCTTTCAAAAATATATAACAAGCTACTGTCAATCAACATCTTCCTTATCAAGAAAGCTCTTTGAAAATTTATACACTTGAAACAATTATGTAAATGAATTGATACTTTTAATTCTTTCTGTATCCAGGCAGTTCAGATGTGAGGCTGGTCTCTGGAAAGGCCCCACCGGTCGTCCTCAAGAAAAAAACTCTTGATACGTTAGATGGCAGTTTGTTTTGTTTTTTTTGTCTTGTTTGTTTCACCGGTTGTTCCGCTGTTTACAAGGCAGCTTTCACACAGGCCTGAATGATTGCAAATAATTTTTCTCACCTCTTAATTACAATTAAAATTAAGCACATTCTGAACAATCCTACCAGGGCTGGTAGATAATAATGATAATAAATGTAGTAATTTCAAATAAACAGTTTAAACTGACTAAATAAACAGCTTAATAAACGGTTGAATTAAAATTTGAAGCCCCGAAGAAAAAGTGAAAGATCTTGAAAGGACCATCAACAAACTCATAAACGAAAGCTGCATGGCCAACTCAAAGAGGGATTATCAAATCGTAACTGATTTCATTCAAAATATTCTCTCCAATCGCCACTATGCGATTCAATTTTTGTTATTTAAAAATAATAATCAAGATACTTACTTAAATTTAAATAACATTTAAAATATTGAAAAAAATAAATAGATTAAAATAATTTTTGAAAAAGGCCCTGGAGAAAGCATACGAAGCAGAAAGGAAAGAAAAATTATTAGTAGATCTAAAGAAACGCTTGATACCAAACAATGAACAAGTCAATTTAGATCTCAATTACGCTGTTAGTGTTTGAGTTAGTGTAGTGGTTAGGACACCTGGTCTTGATGCTGCAGTCACCGTGTTCGAAAACAAAGATGTCCCAACCAATCATATGCATTGTTTGTGGTTTCACGTATATTTGCTAGTTACATTTATGAGAAGAAACTCATTGTGTAAATTGTTTGTGGTTTCACGTATATTTGCTAGTTACATTTATGAGAAGAAACTCATTGTGTAAATCAAAATAAATTTAATGTCAAGGTATAAATCTTTGATTACCGTATAATTTAAAATGAAAAACTAAATTTGATTGGCTGGTTTATTCTCTGAACCATCTTTCTTATTGGACAGGTGAAATTCAATTTAGCCAATCAGCAGGCGGCTAACAACATGGACAATGAAGCCATTGCTACTTTCCAGTCACTGGTCAAAAATAAAACTTTCAGTCATTCAGGTTTATTTGTTCGTACTTTCGTTCGTTCATTCATTCATTCAAACAACCAACTATTCATTCGTCCATCTATTCATTCATTCATTCACTCAGTGAGAAATAACAAAAATTATAAATTTTTTCTAAAATCTGAAGGTCGTTTGAAGGTCAACATAGGGAACATTCACTTCAAGATGCGTCAATATGACAAGGCGGTGAAATTTTACAAGATGGCTCTGGACCAGGTCTCCAACGAATACAAGAACATGAAGTTAGCACCTTTGTTTTGTTTAATTTCATTTTTTTCCATCTATTTAATCTTTGTTACTCTAATTACTTTAATTATTATTATTATTTCTATTGTATGTAATTTTTATTGTTATTGTTGTTAACGAAAAACCTCGGAAGCACGAAGATCAAGCAGAACATCTGCGTGGCGTACGTGAAGATGAACATGTACCAAGACGCTGCCACTGTCCTCGAACTCATCATGGATCAGGAGCCGACCTTCAAGACGTCCTTCAACTTGACCTTGTGTTACTACCTGCTGAACGACGCGGACATGATGAAGCGGACCTTCGAACGTATGTTGACCTTGGAATCGAGTTTCAAGGTCGACGAGGATAAATACGCTGCTTCCTCTGATGACAAGCAGCATAATTTTCTGTTAGAAGCCATCAGAGATGATGAACTACGCAAGATGGAAAAGGACAAGTCAGTTTGAGTCGGGCTGAATTCCTAATTTCTCCTTCTTAAAACTATTAGTTCTAACTCGATTGACCAATTCTGATTGGTTGATTCAAATTTTGGCAGGACAGGAGAGGCGGAGTCATGTTTGATGATGGCTGCCAAGATCATATCTGGGTCAATCTCTACGTCTTACGCGGCCGGCTATGATTGGTGCATTAATCAGGTCAAAAGTTCGACGTACATGAATTTGGCTCATGACCTGGAAATCGATAAGGCAATTGGTTTCTTGAAGCAGAAGGACTTTCAACAGGTCCTTTAAGATGTTATTTTTTTTAAATTATAATGATAATAAAATGATGATGGTGGTGCTAGTAGTGATTACATTGAAAAATGATAAGAGTGATGTGTGTATGAGGCTCCGAAGATAAGCTCTGATGATAATAACGTGTCGGTCATGGGCATGTAATGACGATGACGATGAAAAAGTTATAACGATATGACGATCTTGCGATAATAATGACGTCACTAGGCCATAGAAACTTTGAAATCGTTTGAAAGGAAAGACCCGAAAGTGGCTTCTGCAGCTGCAACCAATCTCTCGTTCCTCTACAATCTGGTGGGTAGGGTGATTGTGATGAGTGTGACGATGACGGCGATGATAATGGCGACGATGACGACAATAATAACAACAATAATAATAATGACAATAATAATAATGATGATGATGACGTAACAAAAAAGGAGAACGAACTGAAACTGGCGGACAAATACGCCGAAGTAGCTCTCCACGTCGACAGATACAACCCTTCAGGTAGCATCATCATCACTATCAGCATCGCCACTATGATCTTCACTATCATCACCACCACCACCATCATCATCATCATGAAGCTCTAGTAAACAAGGGCAACGTCCTCTTAAAAAAGGGTGACCTAGAAAAATCTATAATGTATTACACTGAGGCACTTGACACGGATAGGTCGTGCGTCGAAGCCCTGTACAATCTCGGTCTGACCAATAAGAGGTCAGATAATTGGGTCACGTATTATTTAATTAATTAATTAATATATTTATTTATTCTTGCTTTCTATTACATTTCTTAGAGGTATCAACATGGCCTCACACAGCCCGTGTGATATTGATATATAGCAAGGCCAGGCGCCTCTTACTAATACATTATTTAAATAATTATTATTTATTAATATAATTGTAATAACTAATAATAATTAATAATGAATAATAATAATAAGATTGGGAAGATTAGAGTTAGCGTTGGATTGCTTCACGAAGTTACATTCCATACTGAAGTCCCATCCGCAAGTTATGTTCCAGCTAGCTGATATGTAATCCTTTTTGTTATTATTATTATTATTCTCTTTTTTCTTCTTTTTATTGTTATTATTCAAAATATTTTTAGATGTGCACAAAAGGGCGATATTGACCAAGCGAAAGAATGGTTAGCATAAAAATCATAACTAGCTGATTGATTTAGGGATGGATGGATTGATTGATTAATTGTTTGATTGATATTTAATTAGAGGATTGATTGCTTGAATGTTTGATTGAGTGATTGAATGAACGAACGAATGAATGATGATTGATAATAAAATTTATAACAATGATGACACAGTTGATGATTAATTGTATGTAATTATGATTAATTATGGACAAAAAATATAGGTTAATGCACGTGAATAGCATGGTCCCGAGTGACCCGATTGTCATTCAGAGGTTGGCAGAAATATTTGAAGGTGAGAACGACAACATTCAAGCACTGCACTACTATTCGGAAGTGAATTTTTGCTGTTGCTGCTGTGGCTGCTGCTGATGATGATGATGACGACGATGATGATGACGACGATGATGATGACGACGATGATGATGACGACGATGATGATGACCATGATGTTAATAATAATAATAACGATGATGATAATGGTGGTGATTGCGCTTGTGAAATTTTTGTTGAAATAAATGGAAGAACCAATTACAAAATATTTAACGATCGGATAAGTAAATCAATCAACCAACCAACTAAACACCATACCAAACAATCAACCAGTTATTCAATCAACCATTTAACCAGTTACTTAATTAACCATTCAATCAGACAACTCGCCAACCTATCAATCAGTCAATCAACCTACCAATCAATTAATCAGTCCTACAAATTCGATCCGACCAACATCAACACTCTGGAGTGGATGGGAAGTTATTTCATTGAGAGTCAGGTGCCCGAGAATGCTATTCAATATTTCGAGAAAGGAGCTTATTTACAGTATGTCTGTCTGTCTATCTACATGTCTTTCTGTCTGTTTATTTGACTGTCTGTATGTTTTATCATTTAATTGTTTGTGTTTGTTTGTTCGTTTGTTTATTAGCTGGCCGATAATCGCTTGGACAACCATATTCAAACCAGGTTAAGCGGTCAAGACAATGCAAAAGAACAACTTAGCAATAATAATAATAATAATTTCAGACCGGGCCAAGCAAAGTGGCCGCTAAGAATAGCCAGTTGCTACAGGAAGATTGGAAGCTATCAACAGGCCTTGGAACTCTATAAGCACGTACATAGGAGGTTTCCTGATAATATTGAATGTACGTGTGTGTGTCTGTGCGTGTGTTTGTTTGTGCGTGTGTGTGTGTGTGCGTACCGTGCTGTCATTACTCAATTTTTCATAAAATTTTTAAAAAACTGGAGGAAGATTTTCTGATATCATTGAATGCACGTGTGTTTGTATATCTGTGTATGTTTTTGTCTGTGTGTGCATGCGTGTGTGTGTGCGTTCTGTTAACATTTTCAAACTTTCCGAAACGAAGGTTTGAAGATCCTTACAAAATTCTGCGTTGACATGGACCTGAAAGATGCCAAATTTTACACCGACAAACTGAAGGAAGCTGAAAAATCCCACCAACTCAGGGAAGAGGTCTGGAAAAAATATACTAAAATAATTATACTCATAATAACAATTATAATTAGGAAAATTATAATGATTATTATTATTTATGAGTAATATTACTCGAAATAATTTGTCTTCATAACACCAGAGAGCAAGTAGTGGCCGACAGAGAAGCGCCAAGTTTAGGCACGATAATGAGGCAGGAGGTGTGGTTTTCAAGTGTCAATCATTCATTTTTCTAATCATTTATTTGTTCATTCATTCACTTATTCATTCATTATTAGATTCATTTATCGTCCATTCTTTTCATCCAATCGCAAATACTAATGCATAAGATGAAAATGAGATGATAACATTAATGATACCATCATTTAATCGTCATCCAACGAATTATCGTTATAATTTCAATAATTATTACGATAATTATCAATTTAATATATTAACATTTCAGGAAATGACTCCCGCCAATCAAGCGGAAGCCTCCGAAGCTCCGACCAATCACGTAAGAACAGTGCCAACTCCAGAGTCAATCAGAAACCGCCGACGAACGGTCTATATAATTAATTAATCAATTAATTAATTAATTAGCTAATTAACCACCACAAAACTCCGCATCTTTTAAACATTAAATAAAAATAAATCAACACAAATAATTTAAACGAATTAATTAACAGTGTAACCGATAAAAGTCCGTAGTTAAGCAAAATTTAAATTGAAAAAAAACAACTCCAGATGGCACATATTCTGATCCGCTGGGACCGCAAATTGAAAGGCCGAGAACGGCAGCCAGAAGGCACGAACAACAGGTAGCAGACGACTTCGAAGATGAGGAAATCGGCGACGACCTACTTCCGGAATAATAATAATAATAATAACAACAACAACAATAATGATAATTATAATAATAATCACTAGTATAATATAATGTATGACTTTTTATTTATATTTTTATCGTGTTTTCAATCCATGAAACACATGATAGAAACACAAGCGTTTAAAAAATTATTTGTTTGTAAATTATTATTATATTTAATAATAATAATTATTAATATTATATTTACACAACTGACAACAAAATAATGGCAAAGGTGATCATTATTAATATGTAATTCATGTGGCAATTGATAGTTATCATATTGCCTAATCATCCATATATACATACATGCAATGGGATGATGATGAAGACGACTATGTTGGGATGGTGATAATGATGGCAAAACAACGATGACAATATGATGATGATAATGATGATGATGGTGGCGATATAAGCATGAACCCACAGCAGAATGATAAATTGTAATAAGATAAGTAAAAATGAAAGAAACCGAAAGATTAATATTGAAAAAAAACCCAGAAAAAAATATCCACAAACATTTCTTTATACGGCGCTATATAATTGTTTTATTCATTACGTCATAATCACTGTAGCGCTTCACCTTTACTCTTGTCGTTGCATCATTTTTTTAGCGTCAAATTATTTCTGCTGGCCTCCAACTTCTGCCATTAATTTCTTCTGATTTGAACTTATGAAGGTGATGTAAGTATAGAACAGACTGCCTGAAACGCTGTGTGTGTGTGTTTATGTGTGTGTTTGTGTGTGTGTGTAATGTGATTACGATGATGAAAGATATTTGATGATGGAATTTGTCAGAATTTGTTGATGAATTTACGATGGAAATGACTGATCAATGAGAGAAAGATGACAATATGATAATGAAAATTATTACAAAAAAAACATGCACAGGTAGACACAACACAGACAGACACACACACACAGACAGACAAACACACACACACAGACAGACAGACAGACACAAACACAAAACCTGATATTGACACCGATAAAGTTGATGATACTGAACTTGTAATCACCGCCGATGACCATGCCAAGGTACGTAATGAAAAGATTCTGTTATCATCATTGTCGTCATCATCATCAATATCACAACTATTATCATCGATACATCATCATCATCATTTTCATTATCAGCATCAACAGCAGCAGAAGTGGTCGCAGCATCAGCAGCAGAAGTAGCAGTAGCAGCAGCAGCAGTAGCATCATCAATATAACCTTGAGAACTCCAATGATTGTCGTTGTAAGGGCCGAGTTATGGTTTGTGCAGGAAATGATGGAGTACATGAGTACAAATCCCATGATGCAAGATGACGAGAACGAGATGCAGAAACTGTAATCAATCCAGCCAGTGTATGATATCGCCTGATCAATCAATCAATCAATCTATCTATCAATCAATCTATCAATCAATCGATTAATTAATCACCCAACAATCGTCACCATCATTATTATCATTAGATCATTTTATTTTAAACTGTGGTTTTTCTAGCATTCGACCTTCACCATCGGTCGAATAGTGGATCAACTAACTATTCGGCCCAATCCACTAATCGGTACATCCCTAATTATCATCATTATCTCCATCACCCTCACCTTATCTATATCTCCTGTAAAGTATGTAAGAGCGAATGACAGAGGCAACATGAAGAGAGAATTGTAGAATATCAAGCCTAGCTCCCCAAGCTCCTAATTAACATAATTTATTGTAATTTATTTTAATGATAACGATGATAATATAAAATAATATTTAATACTATTTTTTATATCCACAGGCATATGATGGTATTGCAAATCTAAGATCAATTTACGAAACAAAACAATAAATTTAAGCGAATTTAATGTTTATTGAAGTGTAAAACCCAAACAAGCACTAATATATGCAAATTTATTACTAATATATGCAAATTTATTACCAATATACGCAAATATAATAATAGCATTTGAATAAACCAATCAATCAATCAATTAACTAACTAACTAATCAGTCAATCAGTCACTAATATATCAATAAACAAATTTATTAATAATTTATGCAAATTTATGCGTGACCTTGGCCTCTAGTTTCTGCTTAGTGTAGACGCCATTGGCTGCTGTGAAGATGTTGTTCGTCAGGACGAGTAAGTAACCATGCAATTGGAATGACAGGTCGTCACTATTATTATTATTATTGTTTATTATTGTTTATTATTATCATATCATTATCATCACCATCATAACCATCGTCATCGTAATGACGTCATCACCATCATAACCATCATCATCGTCGTCGTCTTTGAAAACTAACATGGCGGCCACAATGGCGCCAAATATCATCAGGAAGACACACAACTGGACCTTGGGCGTAGCTTTCGTTCTAATGATGATGATGATAATAAAAATAATAATAATAATAATAATAACAATAACCATCATTATCATCATCAATACCATCATAATCATAATCGCACATACCGTTTTTTTAAGATCATCACTCCAGACAAAGCCTGCCAACATCTCCATCACAACCATCTACGCTATCATCCTTATGATCCTAATCATCGTCGTCGTCATCATCATCGTCATCATCATCGTCGTCATCATCATTGTCATCAATAATCATTTTAATCACTTTAATATCCAATACTCAGCTATCATGGTGAAGAGTATGGAGAACCTTCTAAGTACAGTGAACATCGGTAGGCTGTCAGTAGAAAAATTATGATACAAATTATTATTATTATTATAATTATTATCATAATTATTATTATTACTATCGTTATTATTATGGTCATAGTCATTATTATTATCATTGTTTATTAAGACAATGGTGATGTCGAAGATGATGATAATGGCAGAGAGCACTAGCCTAATATTCTGAGTGCCACCAAGTCCAGTTACGAGGTTCAAAAAGTAGACAAGAGGAAGGGGCCAAATCTGATTGGTTGGTCAGTTCATTGGTTGGTCGGTTGGTTGGTAGGTCAGTTCATTGATTGGTCAGTTGGTTGGTAGGTCAGTTCATTGATTGGTCAGTTGGTTGGTTGATTGATTGGTCGATTGATTTACAGATTAGTGATTGTTTGAATTGTGGTTCATTGATTTGGCAGATTTAACTAGGGCATGATTGTAACATATTTAAACAAAAATTACAGTAACAATACAGTACAAAAATAAAAGTAACAATAACAATAATAATAAACATTAATGAATAATAATAATAAAAATAGAAAAAAAATTAAAAACCTTTTGAGGCAGATTCCTGTCTAAACTAGGAAAAGTGATGATGTTGAACAACCTAGCTAGACCTAGAAAAACAACTGTTGACATCATCTGATGACAACAATGATAATAATAATAATTAATAATATTTATTGTTATAATTAATCAAATTAATTATGACCAAAAAGTAGATCTCTCGACCTGTGCTAGCCCAAGAAACTGATACGATGGAAACCTAAGGAGAAAAAACATTATAAGAGTACTCATTACCTAAATTTACTTTTAGATTATTGAATTGAATTGAATTTTATATATATATATATATATATATATATATATATATATATATATATATATATATATATATATATATATATATGTATATATGTATATATGTAATCATTAAATAAAAATTATACTTTATAAATAAATTTAAATTGACCAATAAATAAATAAGTCATCATTTTTTAAATTTAGTAAAAAATTATAAACTTGTAAGAGGTAAGGGTTATCTTATTGACCACAGTTATCAGAAATGATGATGAACCGTACAAAAAAGCTGAGAACACCTATTTGTAGTAATAAGTAAAGTATGTAAAAATATATATAAATATGTGTGTTTATATATATATATAAATAAATATATATATATGTAATTATTGATGAAAATCTACAGAATGGGAAATTAAATTGGAAGTTATTTAAAACGAAGAACATGCTGTGATTTTCATTAATAATTGCATTTCTGACAGTTTTAATCTAATATATATATTATATATGTATATAAATTTAAGTTCCTATGAATATCTATGCTCATTAATTTGTATTTAATTCTTATTTAAATTTTTTATAATTACAAAAAATGAATAAAAATAAGTTTCACACTTTGAGAAAGAGTGGACTGAAGACCGGCCATTTTGAGGTGACTGGTGGCAAAGTTAGCAGCGATGGATTGTTATAGTCATGTACGTTGATGTTGATGCTACCTTTGCCGGCCTTGGAGATTATTGTGGTGCTGGATGACTTCATTGACATTGATGGATCCATGGATGGGCTGTTAAAGTTAGGAGGAGTAGATATCAATGGCGATACTTCAGTCATTCTATTTTGTTGAAAATATTTTATAACAAGTAAGTAACTTTTAAAAACTTTTAATCAAATTTTTAATTAATTAAAATCATTTTTTGACTATTTTTTTTTAGTTAATTAACCACGTACTACTGCGTGTAAAAGTGGATTTAGGTCAGACGCAGGTAAACAATAGAAAAGCACGTCACTTAGCTTTCATTTGTAGTTAGTTCTTTGTGTGTATGATTCTCTTTGAAATACCTTAAAATCACATGAAATACAAAAAAATGTGAATGGCCTTAGCTTGATTTTTTTAATTTTATTAATTGAAAAATGTGAATGGTCTTAGCTTGATTTTTTTAATTTTAAACAAAATTATTTAAAAATTCATGCAAAAGATTCTATCAGATACCGAATCGGAGTCGAGTTCACTTAATCCGGAATCGGTTAATCTGGATATCCGATCAATTCGGATAATTATGCAAGTCCCGATCAAGGTTAAGGTTTCGTTTTGCAAAATCGATCGTTAAGTTCACCGAATTTGCTCAAATATATCATTAATTTGTCCATAAAAAACGGAGATTCTATTAGCAATTTTGTAAAAGTGGAAAAAGATTAATAAATTGAAATTTTCAATCGTAATCTCTACCTAGCATCTTAGCATGTAAATGACAAAAGCAACAATAGCGTCAACTATCTAAATAATGTAAGTCAACTGACACATCTAAGCAGCACAAAGCACGTTATGAAATAGAAAGAAAGTTGTGAGAAGCATTGAAATAAAAAAAACTCGACAATTTAAGTTTCCTGACATTGAATTTTAAACTATTTGAAAAATCTACTGGCAGGTTTTTGACAGACCGCCCTTGCTTTGAAAGAACCACAATCCTTATCTATCCAATTTCGTCGCTTGGTGACAAGGACACATTTTTCCTTATTCGAATGTTGGGGATGACCTTCTTTCCAGTTTATAAAAGATGCTAACTTTCCTGACTTTTCATACCAATATTTTCTTTTCCCTCTCAAACCTGTTAAAAAATATAAAGTCGGAGTTTGTAAAAAATAAAATTAAAAGTGCATTTATAAACCGCAAAAAACTGACCAATCCAAAATCTGCTACCCCCGGCAATGACGTCCGTCAGCCAGTTTAAATGTGGCCAACTGGTTGGGACGGTCAGGTGACTTCCTGTTCTTCTGCAGGCCACTTCCGCTTGACGCCATGTTGATTCGTGTTTCAGTAAAGTGTAACAATGCTCTTTGTATAAGATTTCATCTTGTGATTATTTTAATAATAAAAATAATTATTTATTAATAATTCTTACTACTGCTAATCTAATTTGAGTTGTAACTGCTTTAAATTTTTTTTCAAACAAAAATTTTTATTTACACATAAGAAATTGTAATGAATTTACAAAACTTTGTACTTCTCGAGCAATGATAAGAATAGTAATCGTCGTCCTCATCATCTTCATCATCACTGTAATCGTCTTCCTCATCATCTTCATCTTCCTTTCCAACACCTTCATCATCGTCTTCATCATCATCATCGTCGTCATCATCGCTATCAACTTCGATACGCTTGCGATCTTCACGATGATTATTATTACGTTTTCTACTTCTGACATCATCATCATCATCACCAGCCTCCTCATCACCATCCTCATCATCATCATCATAACGATATTTTTTACCATCATTATCATCTTTCCCATCACCATCATCATCGTCGTCATGTCGATGTTGATTGACAGCTCTATGCAAATTAAACCCCTCCCCCCACTTCCAGACCAGCCAATCACGTCCGTCGCATCTGTACATAACCGATGACGTCATCTCGTAGTAGAGAAGCCCGACTGTGCCCTGGTGACATTTCTGTTCTATCCTAGCCTTCGGGGTCACCGTCGATTTAGATAAAGGGTCAGAGGTCAAGGTCGTTACTTTATTTTCATTAATGTTGTTGATGTTGTTGTTTTTAATGGGAATGCTATTTATGTCGTCATCATCGTCGTCGTCTTCGTCATCATCCCTTTTTAACTCAACCGTCATTTCCTTGTGTTTGAAATGATCAAACGTTTTATCATCATCGTCGTCGTCATCGTCTTCGATGTTAATTTTTCTTCCATTTATCCATTTTTCCTCCATATTTATTTTTCTATCATCGCCATCCTCCTCCTCATCATCTTCATTGTATGGCGCGTATTCGTTGTTAACGCTACCCTCGTGGTTGTAGTCAAACTGTGGTTGCTCAAATTCACAAACACCTTTCAAACAACACATTTTTTTATAAATTTGATTAAAAATAATACTCATAACAAAATAATATAAATTATGAAATGAATTTAATTCAAAATCGTGTTCCTGCAACTAATATTAACAATTCATTATTGCATGTATTTATTTTTCTTTAAAATTTTTTCAAACGATTAAACTAAAACTAGCCATTCTTAACGTTTATAATCTCGACCACTGTCTTGACCCCTGCAGTTAGGAGAGCGTTGATTGGCTGACCCAACTTAATCTCGACCTTCTCATTGGTCTCATTCTCAAGGTCATCATTGAGTAACTCTATTTGCCAGATGGCTTCGGTTTGACCTGGTTTGAAAACAACCGTCCAATCAGATTTGATGAGGTAATCCAAGCCATCCTGGGCTGAAATTTGATTGGTCGAGAACGTAACACGTGACCAGCTTTCAAGGTTGCCGTGACGAACGACCTTGACATTTACAATCCCGCTATCCTCACATACACTGTACTGGGAGTGGGCAAACTCCACAACTGACCATTCAATGTCCAAACTAGGCGACAAAAAAAGAATTATGTAACGGTCATTTTGTTGTGACCGCTACTAATATTTTATTATTATTATTGTTATTATTATTATTACTATTATTATTATTATTATTATTATTAGTAGTAGTAGTAGTAGTAGTAGTAGTAGTAGTAAAGGTGGTAATAGTAGTAGTAGTAGTAATAGTAGTAGTAGTGATAGTAGTACCAATATTAGGAGCAGAAGTACTAGTAGTGATTTGTTCTCAATTAATTAGAAAAATAATTCAAGTAACAACTAACTTTATATCGTTTAGTAATGACGAAGAACCGTTCGTATTTTTGCTGATTTCATTTTCAACTTCACCATCGTCGTCGTCGTCTTCATCATCGTTATTATAAATTAGATGATGAATTTGTTGCTGAAGCAGCAGCTGACGATGATGATGATGACGATGATGGTAGGACTTGGATAGACCGACTCTCAGATGCAGACAGTCCTTCGTGTTTATGTTGCGATAGGGTCTGTTGATGACGTATGCGATCTTGTGCATGTTGACGTCATGTTGGCTGAATGTTGTAATGACGCTGTTGTTGTTGTTGATGTTTTTATTGTTGTTTATGTTGTTGTTGATGTTGTTGATGATGTTTCTGTTGTTGTTGCTATTGTAGTCTTCAGCAGTGTTATAGCTCGACCACTGTTTACTGTTCGTTAGACTGTCGAGCTTGTTTTTGTTGTTGTAGTCTATGACGTTGTGTAAAATTTCATCGTCATCGTCGTCGTCATCGTTGTACACTTCATCATCGTCGTCATTCTCAACATTATCGTCACTATTAAAATTATTTTCACCATCCTCATCATCACCGGAATGATTTTCGGCTGGCGAGTTTAATTTTAATTTTACTAATCTTCCAAAAGCCGGTGAAACTATTAGCGTATAAACGATATCGCATGGTGACGACGACGACGATGATGGGGAAGATGATGATGATGATAGCGATAAAAGAACGTTGAGGTGTTCTTCGGTGAGTAAATATCCAACTTCCCCCTCGATGACGTCATAATTCAAGATGGACGGAGATCTTTTCGTGTGTAGGCGGAGTGCTACGAACTTGATGTCGTCGTTGTTGTCTGTTTTGTTGCTGTTGTTGTTGTTGTTGCTTACGTCACTTCTGTTGTTGTCTATGTTGTTGTTTATGTTGTTGTTGTCTATGTTGTTGTTGTTTATGTTGTTGTTGTCTATTTTATTGTCTATGTTATCAAAATCATTGTCGATGTTATGGCTCAAGTTGCCTCTAATAAGAATTTCAAATTTATGTGGCTGAGATGACGAAGATGGTGATTGTGATGATGATGATGGTGACGATGATGATGATGGTGACGATGATGATGATGCTGACGATGATGATGATGGTGACGATGATGATGATGGTGACGACGACGATGATGATAATGGTGACACTATTGGAATAATTTCGAAGAGAAAATAATCATCGTCATCATCATCATCACTGCCCCGTGGGTAGTTCAAATAATTGAGGCGACCGCTCTGCACGTCTGATTGGTTGAAAGTTTTAACTTGACCTGCTTTACCAGCCAATAGAAGGCGACCTTGTCTGGGGTTTTCCAGAACGTTATAGACATGTGATCCGTTAACCTTCAAATGATTGGCTGTTATTTTAGTCAGGTGGCCTTTCATGGCTAGTAAAGGTTTGTTATTTATCAGCAGGTTGTCTGAAATTTGCAATGATAATCTGGATGTTGGTGGTGGTGTTGATGTTTGCCGTTGATTGCCATCATCACCATCATCATCACCATTGTCACCACCATCATCATCAGCATCGTCATCGTCATCATAATTGTTGGCGTTCTCAAGATCGTTATCAGGATGGGAAATGTTAGTTTCCATAGAAACGAGGCAGGATTTCTGGATGACGTGTATGCCGTCTGTAACACTAATTGAGAAAAAATCTCTTGACGATGATGAAGAAGAGGAGGACGATGATGAGGAAGATGACAATGACGATGATGAAGACGACGACGATGAATTGTCACCCTTAAATGGAATGTACGTCACCAACAATTCTGTCGTTGATGGTGAAATGTTTATTTTAACGCCGGCCTTCAATTCGGTCGAATTGTCCCGCTCTTGACTTTTGAGTTGTTGGTGGTGGAGTTTTTGTTGGCGTTGGGGTTTCAGTTGCAACAGGGCGTGTTGTGGGGGCGATGACGTAAACATTGCCACGTGGTCTTTCCATTTTCCGGGTGGGTTTTTCTTCTTGAAAACAACTTTAAATGCAGTTCTCTTTCTGTTAACCACTTTCATCACATACTTGCCATCTTCATCTTCATCATCATCACTATTTAAGTCATTTCTTGAGTCACAAATCAGCTGGAATCCCATTAGTCGATCGTCCAGCGAATCAGCTGACGGCACGTAGATGTAGACGAGATTTGATTGGCTGACGCCGTCCGAAGCCTGAACTACAAACTGATCGGCCATTGGTTGATGACGTTTCCAGAGCATCGAGGGGGTGTATTTTATTAAATTCTGCTCAACGTCTGACAAATTGAAAGTAGCTACTCTTTTACTCACCTGACTTCGCCCATTTCGACTTCTCGATCTAGATTTTTCTAAATAACCCCATACCGGAAACTGCGTAACTTGAAATACTAGCCAATTAGATGGAGTATCCTGATCACGTGCCCATAAAACGTCCCTTGTGATAGGTGCTGGCCCATCGTGTACGACCAATAAGGAGTTAGTTTCGATGGATGGCGCTCTGTTATTGGTCGGCTGGATGATGAAGTGGAGTTTAACGTCTGGTAGACTAGTGTTACAAATTATTTTTGGAGATGATGACGTTGATGGTGATGATGACGAAAAAGAAGAAGATGATAGTGATGATGGTGAAGAAACTTCAAACACCACGTAGTCTTCTATAGCATGCAAACCGATTTCCTCTAGAAATAAAATATTAAATAAACGAAATAACGAAAGTTAAATAAAAAAAATTCTGTAAACCAAAAAATAAGAACGCACCATCTCTATGCTTATAGATTACTTTTCCGCCAATCGCATCGCTCCATTTAAATGACGTCACATTTAGACCATCCAATTGAATACTTCCATGTATCGGAAGTTTTTTCATTCTAAAAATAGACGATGATTTTCTTATAAAAACTGAAAGATATCCAATGGCAACGAAATCGGCTGGCCTTATTTTTGCAATTCCATTTTCTATTACGCGGATTGATGACGTAATTGTTGATGATGACGTTGTTGTTGTTGCTGTTGATGACGCAGACGATGACGTCATTTTTGATCGTTGGCTGGCTACGTCTGCGGCGTTTGGTATCTCATAATACCCGCTCGTCTCAAACTCAAACAAGTACAGACGAGTATTTGCGTTATTATTATTATTGTTATTGTTATTATTACTTTCGTTTTTGTACACTTTGTCAAAGTTGCGGCTGCCGTAAGTTGCGAGACACAGCACGGCGACTGCTGATTTCAAATTTCTCTTTCTCAACTTACAATAATCTATTTTCGAAGTTGTTTTTCCATCCCTATTAGATTCAAATTTTTTTTGGTTTTTGTTATCCTTGTTATTATTATCATTATTATTTGGATTATCATCAATTTTCCTTTTATTTTCATCATCATCATCTTCTTCATCAGCCTCATCTTCATCATCATCAAAACGTTGAAACGTCACCATCCCATTGATGATGTCATTTTTGGTGAACATATTCTTAACTCCTCCAACCCCACTGATAAGAAGTTTTCCAGGAATTTCCAACCAACGAGAATCGAGCACGTAGGGACCGAAGATCACCTGATAAGTTGCGTTGTCCTCCTCAAGGTCCTCATATGACGTCATTGTCAGCAATCCGTTGTTATTCTGATTGCTGGTGTGATTGTTGACGATGTCATTGTTGTTGTCAACATTGTTCAGTTTAACCTTTTGTAGTGCGGTTGAACAATTAAGAAATGAAAATTGGCGGCTTTTGCTGCTACTGCTGCTGCTGCCTTTGTTTTGTTTTGATTTTTCACCATTTCCATGCAGGCGGATAGTTACAGTCTTCAGAAAAAAATTTCAATCAACAATAACTACAGCAATTTTTCAATCTAAATATAAAATATTCTAATTTGAAATTTATAAATTTAATTTCATCCACCATCAACACAGTCATCACCATCTGTATCAGTATAATCATCATCCCAATCATCATCCCAATCATCATCACAATCATCATCACAATCATCATCACAATCATTGCCACCATCGTCGTCATCATCACCACCAAGATCTACCTACCTGCAAAATTATTCGACAGCACTTTTTAGAGTATCCGTGAAGCGGGAATCTCAGGAGCAGCCTATCCTCTCCACTTTTCGACCCGTCATGTTCGTAAGTTACGGAATTTCCCAAAACGTCCGAAAAACGAAACTTATCTCCGATGTTAATTATACTCGTCTGGTTTTTAAGTTTTAATTTTCCGTGTT